GGTGGTGGGGGGGGGGGATGAAAAAGAAGAAACCGCTGGTAAAGTGAAGCTCCGCGGCGGCCGCAGGCTCCCGCTCCTTGGGCCAGTTCCAGGTGCAGGGCCTGCCCCACAGAGGCCTCCTCTGCCTGCAGGCTGATGGCCACGGCCACCGCCATGGCCGGCTCTCAGCACCTGGGAGAGCTGCAGGGAGCTCAGGGTGGGGCCAGCTCAAGCCCTCCTTGAACAGATGAGGAAACTGAGGCCCGTGTGCAGTGCCGCACACGGTGGCAGCAGGGACAGGGTCACGGTCCACGCTGCCGTTGGGGGCTCCTCCCCTCTGCCGCACCACCCTCCTTGGCCACAGGAGGAAGAGGGGTGGCCTGGGCCGGGGGAGGCGGGAAGGAGCCCCCCGCTCCCGAGGCTTCAGGCAGCATCTCTGGGGACACGACTTCCCGGACCTCGAGAACAGAGGAGCGGGTGCCGGCCCTCTGCCAGGCTCAGTCAGCCAACCACCCTCAGCCTCGGGCCGTGGGGTACAACGGCAGTAATCCTAACAACACGACGGCAGCAAATGCCCCGGCGGGGCTGATCACGGAGCAGGCACTGCTCTCAACGTTAGCACTCAGTCTGCACAGCTGCCTACAGTTCAGGCCATCACCGTGTGACCAGGGACACTGAGGCACAGAGCACGTCCGGGGGCCCACAGCAAGTCGGTAGCCCAGCAGCCAGGGGGTCTGCAGAGCCCTCGGCCCCGCCACCAGGGCGGCCTCCCGAGCAGCAAGGGGTCTAGCTGCCTATCCGTCCCGGAGGCTGGACTGGCTTTGCCCACAGGGGGAAACCGCCAGCACCCGGGGAGGGGAGGGGGGGCCCCTGCGGTTTTCTCAGTCAGGCTGGGGAGCTCCCATCTGTGGGGAAGAAGCCACTATCACCCACAGGCTCATGACTCAGCCCTCAGGAGTTGTGGCCGGGGAGCCACACGGACACCCCAAGAGAGGGTGCATGCAGGGCCCGGCGCCTCCCCCGTCCCCCACCTCCCTGCGCCAGCAGGGACCACAAGCAGAGCCTGGCCAGGCGGTTGGCGCGTCAGGTGCCAGGACCACTGGGGCGGCGGGTGGGGTTGGGCCGCGGAGCTGGGCGGCAGGTGACTCATCCCGGGGCAGAAAATACCCCGGCGGGGTCAGGAAATCCTCTAGCGCTCACAGGGGAGACCCTGACTCTGCCCCTGTCCTGCCCCAGCCCTCACGTCCAGGCTCCTCCATCCCAGGGGCCTCGTGGGGCGAGGAGGGCTGGGCATCCTGTTTCTGCCTCTTCCCACGGCGGGCAGCTCCCATCTCGGGAGGGGGCAGGGGGCAGGGGGCGGGGAGGGCAGGGTGCGGAGAACCCGGGCCCAGGGCGGGGCCGGGGGGTCTGCCGGGCCTCGGGGGCAGCAAAGGGGTCGGCTGGGCACGGGGCCAGGAGCTGGCCCGCTGGCTGAGTCACCCCCCCCCCCCCAGCCCTGCTCGGATGCCAGATATGGAAGCCAGGCCGCCCAGGCCTGTTTGGGCCCCGTTGCTGGGGACAACTTGCAAGGCCCTCGTTTCCTCCCCCACTAGGCTGAGGAAGAGATACGGGGACAGAGACCTGGGGCTGAACATACGAGGGGGAGGGGAAGATGGCCACGGGGCTTCCAGGAGCTGGCCCAGCCCTGCAGGGGCTCCCGCCCCAGTCCCCTCCAGCCTCAGCCCCTCAGCCTCACCGGCACACAGAGTTCCCCATGGCGAGACCCCAGGACCGGAGAGAGGGGTGAGGGTGGGCGGGGGCGGGGGGGGGGGGGGGGGCGGAAGAGCGAGGTCTCCGAGGGTCCGCAGGGAAGGGCGCCCCCTGTGGCGGGGCGGGGCCGTGCAGGGCAGGCGCCCCCTGTGGCGGGACGGGGCCGTGCAGGGCGGGGCGTCCCAGTGTCAGGATGGGCGGGCGGGTAGGCACCAGCGCCAGGGCTGTCCCCTCTTTTCCCTGGACGGCAGAACTCGGCCCAAGCCTACTTCCTGCCAGTGCGGGGCGGCTCCTGTTGGCCACCCTTCCCTTTGTTCCTGCAGCTCCTCCCCCTGCAATCTATCTGCCTCCACCTCCCTGGGCCGCGGGGCCCTCAGCCCTGCAGCTCTTGTCCCCACCCCTGACATGTGCTCAGCCGTTGTTTTCATCTGCCAGTTTATTATCTGTCCACTAATGTCTGGGGCTTTTCCAGTCTGTGCCTGGAATGCCTGGGGGCTAGGAGTCCACACAATCCTGGCTTCCAGGGGGCCTCCTCCCGGGCCAGCCTCTGCACCTTTACTGGTGGGGAAACCAAGGCCTAGACAGGAAAAGGCTCAGGCACTGAAAACCTGCCCGCCGGGTCACCTGAGGACACTCACGGCAGACAGGGACAGAGCCCTGAGAATGGCAGGGTGCACGGCAGGGTGGGGGGAGGGGAGGTGCGGGGAGGGTGGCACCCAGGCACCCAGGAAGACAGCCTGGGAGAGGCCTCGACCCCCGGCTCCCAGTCCAAGGGTGATGCGGCCCAAACGCACACACTCCCACAGCTGGGGGTGAAGCGGGTTGGACACCCCCCACCCCGAAAGGGAACCACTGCTTGGTCTGTTGGCTGGTCTGTGGGTCTGCCAACACCTTCTGGTAAGGGCAGGATGTGGGAAGGCGGGGACATCTGGCGCTCCAGGCACCAGCCCCGTCTGGAAAAGAGACCTTCAACAGAGGAACTGAGGGGGAATAGCTTTCTTCGAGTCCCACCCGCTGACGTTCTGAGGGTCTTACAGCTGGAAAGCGCAGGTAGGCCCCTCGGGGTGGACCCCACCCCGACCTCCCCACACAGGCCTGGCCCTGCTTCCACCTGCCGCACACGCCTGGGGTCCGGGGCCCTCAGATCCCCGTCCAGGGGCGCTCGGCCCCAGCTGTCCTCCCCCTAGACAAAGCCAGGTGGCAACTGTAGGCAGAGGGAGGGCTGGAGGAGAGGGGCCGGGGCCGAGAAGGGGACGGGAGGCCTGTGGACATGTTCAGACTCAACTCCGGCAGAGGCGCTGGGGCTGGCAGGGGGCCAGGCCTGAGTCACAGCTGCTGGGTGTATCAACGTGGCGTTGTTCGCAGGCAGGAGGAGCCTACGGCTAGGAGCTGGGCCCCGGGTCCTGGACGACAGGCAGCCGGCTTCCTGACCAACTGCTCTCTTAGGGTCCCTGCCAACTCCGCTTTCCTTCTTCTTGGCCTGACTCTCAAGAAGTCACTCTTGACTTCTGTGCAACAATGAAGCGCCGAGGCCTGGGGACAGACCAAAAGGAGGAGGGGCCTGGGTCACAGCCTAGGAAGAGGCAGACTGTCCTGAGGGGAGAGAGAGGGAGGCGCCGGCCGGAGTAGGGACATTTAGGGGATCCCCACAAGAAGCTGACTCAGGAGTTCCTTCTTTGGGATGCATTAACCCTCTATCTGGATTATCAACCTTGATGATGGCAAGAGGGGGCGGGAGCTGCACCCCAAGCTCGGCAAAGGAAGTGGGAGGGCCTAGGAGTTCTAGTCCCGCCGCATTCCAGCCCCAGCCTGGGAAGGTGCAGCCTTAGGAGCCTCGGCACCAGGGGGCCTTGGCGATCCGTCTCCCCTCAGCTGCCCAGAAACCGGGCTCCTTGATATGAGGGTCTCTAGCTCCCCCGATCCAGCCCTAAACGGACCCACGTGCTCTGTCCCCTCCCTCTGTCCCCCATGCAGGGGCCACCCGGAGCCATCTCTTGTCTGACGGAACAGCTCAGGGTCTCCCGTCCACTCTGCACTCCGCCCTCTGCCGTGACTCAGCTCCTCTCTCGGGCCTGGGATCCCAGCCAGAATTAATCCCGGCTTCCTCTCCCGCCAAGGGACAGGGAGCACCCCTTCCCCGCCCGGCTCCTCCTTCCCAAACTCTGTCCTCTTGCAAGACCCCCTCACAGCCCGGCCCCAGGTTGGGAAGGGAAACGGGTAGGCCACCCAAGGTCAGCGTGCGCCTCCCTCCGGCTGCAAGCACGTGTGTCGGGCCTTGGCCAACTCTGAGGTAACAGCCCTGCCTTTCCCAGGGCCTCCCGGCGCCCCCGGCACAGGCCTTCTCCCCAACACAGCCCTCGCCACTGTCCTCAAAGGGGAGGCGTCCCAACAAAGTGTCCTTTCCTACTAGCAATAAAAACAGCAGAGGCCAAGAGCGTATCGTCATAATTACCTGCTCCTAACAAACTTTCTTTGAGAAAGAGAGAAGCGTGTCCGCACGTTTGACTGCACGGCTCGTGGCAGACATTTCTACTGAGCATAGCACTGGCTGCTAATTATATTCACATTAAGTATATTTGTTTCTCACGTTATAGCTGGGTATTGTGGAGGACTGACGTCTCACGCCGTGGGTCACGGTTCTACTCCGTGAGGGCTCTCTGCAGACCTTCTACTCGAACCCCTTTATTTCACAGCTAGGGAAATCCAGAGAGGGGACGTGGCTTGCTCAGGGTCACACAGCCATTTAGTGGCAGGACCCAGCCTAGGACACCGAGGGCCAGGGCTGTTTCCACTACCTCATGCAACCTGTCGCTTGGCTAGTGGACCACCTCACGTCTTGTTAAGGGACAGGAGACCTGCGACCTCTCTCCAGACATTTCCAAGAACGTGAGAGGTTGGCCTGCATCACCTTCAGGGGCACTGGGGCTCCAGGAGGTGGGAATGGGGTGAAGTTGCTGGGGCCAGGCCTCTGAGCCGACCTGGTGGGGGGGTGCGGGGAGGCAGGCTGGGGGAGGGGAGCGGAGGCACAGCTGGTGGGTGAAGGCGTCCCCTCCCAGTTGTTCCCCCAGCTGTCCCTGGCTTCAGCCCTGACACTGAACTACTGAATCCC